ACAGCTGCCAAACAGAGCTTTCTGCAGTCAAACACACACCATTGTGCTTATTTATATTGACTCCTCATGATTACAGACTTCAATAGTGTTAGGTATAAGTAGAGATTCAAGGTAAAGTACTAGTAAGGCGATTCAATAAAGTAGCAGCAAAATTGACAAAGTCCTCACTAAAATCCCCATTTAGGCGTTTTGTGAAGCGTTTTATAACTTTGCAAATTAATTCATTGAAAACAACCATTTGGAAGTGGTAATCTATGGTCATAAGGTAGTCAATACAAAATTACTAATATTGAAGGTTCTGAGCAACTTGCTTGTGCTTTTACTTTGCATGCCTCCTGGATTTCCCTGCAGAAGAGAAAGAATATGCTCCCGTTTTGGCATCCGTATTTGGGGTTCCTTTCCAGCTTGAGTAATGTAGACATCTAGTCTTGATTCAGGCCGAAAAAAAGCCTGAGGTCTTGCACTTGTTGAATTCCAGCTGACAAAACAGTCCTATACAAGGCACAGATCTAAGCAGCACAGTAAGTCCTGCTCAGTTCAAAGCCTCAGAAATGGAGATAACCTTTCTTCTTTCCCACTTTATACGCAGTCAGTAGTTTTGGAGTCAGTGCAGGTCTATGCAAAGGACTCAGCAGATACACTGTACCCAGCGTTAAGCAGGCCTCAGGTAAGGCTCATTCCCCCAGTTAAGGAAATGAGATAACCCAAGGGGGACTCACAGCATGTTACACATTTAAAGTGAATGATGCTTTAAAAAACAACTTCATGGTCTTCTGGTCTAGAAAGAGGCAGATAGTGTTTATCGGATCTCATAATAAAAGGCTGGGAAAAGTCTTGTATATAGGCTTGCAGCTGAGTCATTGCTCATTTACATTAAATCTCATTAACCTGTTTAGCTAAACCTATACCAAGTTCTCAATTCATTAGTCCAGCTGCAAGAGTCTTAATCACATAATCAAACTCCTTTGCTTTACTTTATGCTCAACCGAATTATGTACCCAACAGTTCAGCTGGCATTAGTCCTCGAAAGCAATGATCAAATGAGGTCTTTGCCCAACTGTATCAAACACTGAAAACTAAGGCTTGTTTTGCCTATAATAAATATATTTAAGTTTGCTGCTCCAAAAGACTACTTTAAAAGCTTTTAAAAAGCCTGTACAGTACACAAAACCTTTTGTGCAAGATGTTTAGGTGTAACTAAGCAAAGGTATTTTATGGAGTTATAAGATGTAGCCTGCTCTATCACTTTTTGGCTTCTGTTCCATGTAGTTATGCTATTATGGCCTTTGGCATTCACTATAAAGCAGATTCACCTCCTGCATATCAGGAGTAAGAGACAAGCTTTGCTGCATGGAAGCAGACAATACAATGCTTAAACCCCAAGAATTATATATTTGACCATAAATATTTCAAAGTGTGGTTTTTATAAGATTGCATTTTAATTGCCTTATGTTTCTCCAGAAAGTATCATTGTCCTTTTCATCAAGCCAAACACTGGTCTGAAACATGTATATAGAAAACACTGCCCATTAAACCCTGAAGTATTGAGGCCTGATGTTTTCACAGTATTGAAGTTTTTGAGAGTATTAGTTGTTATAACAGGATGAGATCAGATATCTCCTACCATCTCAGAAAGAAAAAAATGTTCTTACAGTAAGAAGAGATCATATCTACAACATCTGAGTATTCAATAAGAGAGCAGTTTGCTATAAGCTTATCTGTCAGCACAGCCATTAAAAGGTCATAGTTTGTTTTATGCTTAAGGAAAAAACACCTGTTAGAATTAATTCAGTTTAAATAAAATAAAGTAAGTGCTGAGAAAACAAATCAATATTTGCATTTAGTTCCAGTTCATTGGTTTACATAAGATAAAACCCTAGTACCAGAGAATTCAATAAAAACTACAAGTGCTTGGCCAACCTATATCTTAACTAGAAGTTAGTTGCATCTCTTTTTTGCTATGTGTCTAGTATCCTTAAAAACAAAAGAAATTGTATGTAAAAAAAGTCCGGTTTCTACCTTCAAAAGTTTCATTTGTCAACATATTCTATCTGATCACAGAGCAGAAGAGTAGCATCCATATTTTAATTAGTTTTCATTATCAGGTATTAAAAATGGCAGGTATTCCAAGGCAAGCATTACATTTCCACTTTCTGAAATTGACTGGATGAAACAATGAATAAAGTGTTTTTGCTAATGCAACTTTTGTAATGCGGAACTTCAGAAAAAAAGAAAAACTTATTTAGAAAAAAACACTTCAATGGCTTGACTGTATCTGTAAGTTAACTTCACTATAGCTTTTTGACCACATTACACTAGGCTAGCACAGGACAGCATATCAATACCTTCTTCACCTCTTTCCTATTAAGAAAGGAGAACATGATTCAAAGATACCCAGTGCAACAACACATGGCAATGATGGCAAACCAAAGCCATCATTTACATAGGCCAAGCTCTTGTGCAGCACATCAGAGCACAAATTTTAAGCATCAGGTATATTGTTTCCATTGATCAAAGTAAATTAAGGAAAAAAATCTTGCAACCTATTCAAAGTACTCAAAAAATATCAAGCACAGGTGGAATTTAGGAAGTTTCAGTTCAACTCCAGCTCCTACAATAAGCAACAAAGTCTGAGGAAATGAGACTATTTGAATTTCTCCCAGAAAAGTCAAGAGCTTATCAATGCCAGCAAGTATTATTCTCCCAGCAAATACCAGCCAAGCCAAGAAGCTGTTTACAAGAAACAAATATCTGTAGAACCTACTCAAAGTGACCTCATTTTGAAAGATGACAGATTTTGCTCTTCTAAACTCTACCGCAGAAGAGTTCCTATTTTTAATCACAAAAACATGGCAGCTTAAATATGAGTTGAACAATTACATTTGTCAAAAATGTCAACATATTTAAAACTGCATTAAGTCTAAAAATAGTCAGCAATAAAGGTGGATGAATGATTTATTTGAAATATAGTGGAGACAGGAGAAAAATTCATTCCCCCCTTGGGAAATGATACAAACCACCAGGAAAAAGATTAACATCTACATACTACACTTGAAGATGAGTTTAAATACAAGGGAACCACCTTGCAAAAGACACCACAGCCTGATAGACTAGGAATGAAGAACTAATGGTCCAGTTATCTCCACTAGTACAAAAATAGTTTTAAATTAAATATTATCTTTCCCAATAACACAAGTGGGAAAAAAACCTGAGGAGCTGCTAAGATCTTCTAGAACCATAGTCAGAATTCAGTAGTGACAGAATATTGATGAGATAGGACAACTATTTATCTTTTCTATTGTGCTGGTTTTAGCTGGGATAGAGTTAATTGTCTTCATAGTAGTTAGTATGGGGTTACATTTTGGATTTGTGCCAAAATCAGTGTACAGGGATGTTCTCATTACTGCAGAGCAGTGCTTACAGAGTCAGGGCCTTTTCTGCTTCTCACACCACTCCACTAGTGAGGAGGCTGGGGGTGCACAAGAAGTTGGGAGGGGACACAGCTGGGACAGCTGACTCCAACCAACCAAAGAGATATTCCATACCCTATGACATCACATTCAGCATATAAAGTCAGTGGAAAAAAAACAGGGGGGGGACACATTTGGAGTGATGGTGTTTGTCTTCCCAAGTAACCATTATGCATGATGGAGCCCTGCTTTCCTGGAGATGGCTGAACACCTGCCTGCTGATGGGAAGTAGTGAATGAATTCCTTGTTTTGCTTTGTTTGTGTGCACAGATTTTTGCTTTACCAATTAAACTCTATCTCAACCCACAATTTTTCTCACTTTTAGTCTTCCAATTCTCTCCTCCATCCCACCAGGGGGGAGCAAGCAAGCAAGTGGTGCATGAGGCTTAGTTGCCGGCTGGGGTTAAACCATAACATCTATTAATTAACAAACACTGTCAGGCCTTTTTATAAATATATAAACACATACATAACTCAATTCCTCTTTATACAGAGGAGCTGGAAGTTTGCCAGAGTGAGAACAATTAAGAGCTTCAGTCTGAAAAAATCTGGACCATTCTGAAGGCCATAAATCTTATGCTGAGATCAATTTTTTAAACAAGAGACCAAAGCAATCGATAAAATTGATGGTGACCTGAAACAGCAGTATCAGTATTGTAATGGCTAGTGCAATTCAAACCACACAAAAAATGTTTATATGCAGAATGAAGAGAAGGAGAAAGGCAATGTTGTAAAAAAAAAAAAACACACACACAAGAAGCAAATCCAGCTTGATTTCAATTAGCTTTTTTTAATGAAACCAGACTAAAACTCATTCCCAGCTTCAGCCAAGTTTCATAGAGGAATAAAGACGAAATAAACCATTACCATTCTCGAACAAATTCAACAATTAACTCCTGCATAGATGGAAAGCTAAGGAAAGCTCCACAATTTTCCACCTGCTTGCTAGTCACTATTCACAGCTCCAGAATACCCACAATACATCTTCTGTCCAAATAACCAGTCAAAAGGGATGGTTAATAACACAGATGAGCAAGAGTTACACTGGATGTTATACGGAACGATAAATTAAGAGGAAGAGGATTACTGGAAAATAGCCTAAGATGTCTAGTTCCGTTAATATTGCTGCTCATGGAACAGCCCATATTTACACCTTAAAAACCGCAGAATTCTCTTATCTGTAGAGTTGCACTGAGAAGTTCAGATCTTAGTTTTCCTGAGTACATTGCGAAATTTAATAGAACACTTCTCTGTATGTCTGTACAATTAACATACACTGAAGTGACACTTCAGATGCAAAACTATTCACCAGCTAGGATTTATTTTTAAAGTCTTCTATATATGTTTTAAAACAAATAGGAGGTTTTAAAGTTTACTGGAATGCATTGTTTGAATGCACGTGATTTCAGTTGTTTTCTGGACATAGCTATCAAAGCTTCATATTAGACTAAAGCAAATGAAAGCCATTAAATGACTGAGCTGCTTATTACAGCTGAGCATGCACATATCATAGGAAAAAATTTATCTTACCTTCAGGTGCATCTGCGTCACAGTCTTTAGATACGAATGTCGCATTCCTTGGCTGGCCATCAATTGTCTTATTACTCTGCGTTATAAATATGGAAAATTAGTACACTAGTCTACCAGCAACATTCTTCCATACACAATGACAGTCCCTGAAACAAACAACTCTTTCAATAAATTATTAATTTTATAAAAAAGGCTTTGACAAACCTCTTACAATATTCAAAAGCCTTAAGATTGGTTTTGAACAGTATGTGCAGAGTAAGCTGCAAGTGGTACAATATGAACATTGTTAAATGTGCTTTCATAAAAAAATATTAGCTTGCGTTCTTTTGAAGATCTAGGGAAAATAAAAATTTCCTCTCTGAAATTAAATCTTTTAACTGTGCATAAAATGAATTTGGAATTCAACTTTGGTGATGAAGACACCATGGAAGTGTTCGGCTTGCATAATCATAGAATCATTTAGGTTGGAAGAGAGCTTGAAGATCGAGTCCAACCATCAGCCTAACACTGTCAAGTCCACCACTAAACCATGTCCCTAAGCAACATATCTACACATTTTTTAAATAGCTCCAAGGATAGTGATACCTAACACAGTTTACTTCTGGTCTAAAAGCCAGATGACAGTATCCAATATACTTAGCTAGCCAGAGTGGAGGAAGAAAAATTAAGCTGAAGAGAACTATTGAAAACCCAAATATTCCTGTTTAAATGTCTCAAATCTTTGCAAAACAGACCCTTTCAGAGACTACATAAACTCTTTCATACCGTACTTACTTTTGAATAATCAGTGAATAATTTTAGAATAATTTTAGCAGGGTCCAATGCAAATCATTTGTACTACATTGATTTCTTCATACACTAATTCACTTCAAAGGGTCTCATACCTACTGTACTTACTTTCACCCTCATGATTCCCTAAGCAGGAAGCCCTCTAAAGAAATCAGTAAGGGTCAACATCTCTTCTCCTTCAGGCTGAAGAAAAGATGTCCCTTAAAATCTACCAGAAGTCAGTACAAGCTAGCACATAAAACTTTCCCTGGCAAGTTAATTGAGAAAGTTTATCAACATTAAGTAAATTCAGCTTTCACTCTGAACTTTCAAGAGAAACAACCAAGCGTCTAACCTAAAATCAACAGTTGGTATGGAATTAAATTTGTTTCATGCAAACACATGGAAGCATGGAGACCACTACTGCCTTAGAAGAAACTGATCCAAAATAGTATGATTAGGTACAGAAATCAGGAACTAAAGAGGAACAAAAGTAAAAGGACAATGTGTATATAGAAACAATAGGATAAGAACAGAACATATGACATTTCAATTATTCAGTGTACATTTAGCAGTGGTCCACCTGCAGGAGGTATTCCAGCCAACTGTTGCCATTGCTGCTCAGAGACTGCTTCTTCCAAAAGAACTGTGGTATATATTGTACAATTAATTATATAGGGGCATACAAAAAGCACAGGGAAATCACAATCTTACAATTTCAAAATTTTGTCTTTATTTTTATTAGTTTTAATTTTTAAATAGTAAGAATATAAAATACAACACGTAACAATAGCTAGTCCTGTGGGTTTCCTTTGGCAACAACTATGCTTTTTTCCAGGTCTGATATCATTCTTGTTCTCCATGAACACTTCTGTAATTTAAGACTTCTGACATACCTGGATTCAACTCTAAATGCTTTCTACAAGCTCAAGACAC